CTCCGCTTGTATGAAATTGCCAAGTAGATATTGGGCCAACTATTTAATTGCCGAGTTGCTCGGTTTGCTTATTGCTCCGCTTGTATGGAATTGCCAAGTAGATATTGGGCCAACTATTTAATTGCTGAGTTGCTCGATTTGCGTTTAGTCCAAGGTAGACTTGCCCCATTGCTTTCGAATGACAGGTGTTAGTCGGAAGGAATGTAGATTCCCATTGCCCTATGTTGCAGGGAAGATTCGGCTTTGGTAAAATGACGGCACGTAAAAATATGCAAATTGCCGACTGCCAAGTGTGTATTGTATTGCCCCAAAGTGGGCGCTTGCTTCAAGCTGTGTGAAAAGGAACGGGAGTTTGTAACTCAAGTAAACTTCGTTGTAATGTTTGTACCAAGTTGGCCGAGTATGCATGCATATCAAAGGTGTCGAGATGATGATCGGCTGATGTGCCCCACTTGGAAAGCGAAAAATTGACTGATGTCCCAGTGGGCAATTGTTTTGCCAAATAATGTTGTTAGGCGAATAAAGTTGCCGAATACTGTGGCCAATGTTGCTGCATAAAGTTTGACAATGCATAAAGTTGACAAATGATGTTGCTTAGCCGAATAAATTTGATGCACAGTCGAATAATGGTCATGTATAATGTTGAATTAATAATGGTTGAATAATCTTGCCGGGTAGAGTTGATGCACTGCCGAGTAACTGGTGCCAAAACATCGGTGTCCGTTTACACTTGGGTCGTTGATTGTGCCGATCGCTTGGTCGGCGACTTTTCTTAGCTTCGCGGTGTGTCGGCATCACTTCAGAGTTGGATATGCTAAAAACTTGGTTGACAATGGTTGCCAATTTATTGAAGTTGAGATTCTTGTCCAACGTATATTTGCCCCATTACTTTTGAATGACATCGGTTATTCGGAAGGAATAAAATTGACTTGGGACCAAATTACCGAGTAGACTAATAACAATTTGAAACGGATTTCGTGCACCTGTTCGGTGCCGTGGCGAAATTGGAATGAAGCCGAGATAAAGTAGGGTGCTTGGTAATATGCGAAATGAGTCATTGCGCTCAATATTTGAATAAAATCTGTAATTATTTATTTATTTATGTATTTATTTTCAGCTGAATTTGCAAATTCTGACTGTATGGATGGACCCGGAATGCGTCAGATAGTTGGAAAGGACTATTGGTTTGTTGTGATCAGACTCCTGATGGTATAATTATAGCCAAAATGGATCTAACGGCTCAAATCAACAGGGTGTAATGCAACCGCGAAGCACATGATCGTTTCTTTATATCTTGTTGGATCGTCTTCCCTAGAGAAAGAACTCATTTTCTGGGCAAACTTTGAGCGGCCTGTACGGCTTCGTTTGAGCTCCGATTTTGACGCAATTTGTTGCGTTGGACTCGTCTCAATGAGTACTTCACATTGGTTTGGGAAAACTTGAGTTTGACAGCTTTGAAAATTTCAGTTGTCGAAAAATGTGAGCCCTATCGCAATTTTCGGCATACTTTGGTCACTTCTGGACTTCTCGAATTGGTGGGTTTGGACTCTTTGAGCCGATACAAATCCTGTGGTATGTTCAGATGTGGATTTCGGCAAGCCAAGATGCTAATTCTCTGCTGAGATATTAGTGCCGAATAAGTCACAAAGTTGCCGCATATTGCTGCAGAATGATATTGTAGACGTCAAAGAATGTGCCGAATAAGAAATGTTACGGTGTAATTTTTGCCGAATAAGTTATAAGCCGAGTTGATCATATGCAAGCAGCGTTCATAATGCTGATGAATTCTATTGCTGAATAAGTTGAAATATAACGTTGTGAGCCGAATAGCGTAGATAATGGGACGGGATTGTCCGATGCGGTGATGTTTGGACGGCCGAGTAGTCTTGAGGCCGAGTAGTGTTGCCGAGTAAGCAATGAGCCGATTAAGTTAGTAAGTTGCCGAATTAATTGTGGATATAAGTTGGTTCGTTGGTTTCCGTATATCCGTAGTTGTGATAGCCAAATGTGAAAGAAATTCAAGTTGCGGTGAGTGATCGGTGAAGTTGGACGATCATGGCCCAGCTCTAGGAGCCTGCTTATTAAAATTGCACGTTGATCGGACACGATCTGACCGGTGAACTATCATTTAACGTCCCCGATTTTTCAATTGATCACTACAACAAGTTGGGCCTTGAGTGACGAAATTTTTTTGTCTTCAAAGAGCTAATTTCGTCACTATAGATATTTGTGAGGAAATATTTTCGTCACCGGTTTCGTAATTGAATGTTTGTCACTAAAAACCAACGTGACGAAAAATAATTTCGTCACCAATGAAATTACTTCAGTGACGAAATTTTTTGTCACCAATAAAACAACATTTTGTCACCAAAAATTCTCATTTTCGTCACCAAATAGTTTTATATGTGACAAAATTTTATAATTCGTCACAAATTATTCTTATTTAGTGACGAAATTTATTTTCTTCACTACTTTTCGTCACTATAGGTTACTTTTGTTGTAGTGGATTGATCTCAAGCTAATACTCGAAATTCACAAAATTGTACCTCAAAAATGGATTCTACACAGCTAAAAACTAGAGGGTAGGCGTCCTCGAAATTACTGGACCATCCGATTAACTGGAATGCGGTAAGATGCAACGGAGCACATTGTGCTGAGAAGCGCATGATAAATTCTTATTTCATCACCTTCATGCTGCATGCCGTGAAAGGCAGAGTTTTCTAGTTTTGAGCTCGTGTCTTTGAGGCCTTGTATCTCCTTTGTTTTAAGTCCGATTTTGACGCGGTTTGTGGCGTTGGACTCGTCTTGATGAGGACTTCACACCGGTATAGTCAAAGCTTGAGTTCGACAAGGCGGAAAAAATGTCAATTTCTAGACATTTAGCTAATTTTGCAACTATCGCGGCCTACGGTTAGCTCATGGCTTTACTAGTCGGTGTTTGTGACTCCGTTAGTTGACGTGAACCTAGTGGTAGGCCACCAAATTCTTGCTCGCATGAGGAAAAATGTAGACCCACTTGCTAGAGAGAGAAATTGGGTACGTAAACGGTGTCAGCGACACTTTGGCTGGCTGAAGCACTTGGTTCTCGGCATTGTGGTTCAGGAGGTCAGACATGGTTTGAGAGACGAATTAATAAACGGGCGGAGGTCGTGATTGAATGGCCGTTTAGTGTGGAATGGTTGCCGAGCATCTTTGTAGCCTTGCCAAGTAGGCGTAGTTGTAATAGCTGGATCTTGAGTTTGTAATAACTTGCTAGAGAGAGAAATTGGGCACGTAAACGGTGTCAGCGACACTTTGGCTGGCCGAAGCACTTGGTTCTCGGCATTGTGGTTCAGGAGGTCAGACATGGTTTGAGAGACGAATTAATAAACGGGCGGAGGTCGTGATTGAATGGCCGTTTAGTGTGGAATGGTTGCCGAGCATCTTTGTAGCCTTGCCAAGTAGGCGTAGTTGTAATAGCTGGATCTTGAGTTTGTAATAGCCGGATCTTGGTTGGCAACTTCTCTTAGCTTCACGATGTGCCGAATCACTCGGTCGGCATCTCTTCGTATTTGGATTTGCTGAGAATGTGGTCAGCAAGACTGCTTTATGCATGCAACACCTTTGATCTTTGGTTTTGCTGAGATTTGGGTTGGCATCAACGTAAGCCATTGGAGAAAAAGTGAATCCAACTTGTGTACATGTGCATATATATGAAGAATCACCTTCAAGATATGTTTTGTGAAACAAAGAATAAATAAATAAATAAATAGACGCATGTATTAATTTAGCCGAGCAATTGTATTGACTTGCCGAAAAGATGTTCGTACCAATAAAGGTGTGAAATCCATTTTTAGAGAGAAAACAGCTACTAACTTCATCTTGTTGTGACAACATTTCTAAGCAATATTAATATTCAACAATGCTTTGATCAAATCTGTGAGCATAAATAGATACATACATAGATGTGTATATATATATGTATACCTAAACTTTAGCAAAAAACATAATCAGAATGAAAGAAGCCAAAAACCCAGTTGTGGGTTGTATTACTTGGGATTGATTTTGCTTTTGTAGAAAGTGCACTAACCTAAAAGCAACCAATATATGTTTACTTACAGCAGTATATTTGTTGTGTTCTTCGTTGATCTCATTCAGTCGTTCCCACAGACAGTGCCAATTGTGAGACCATAAAATATCCTCTCACATGGATGGTGTGGAGATACAACGAAGAGAAGAGCTTCGCCCCTGTAGACCTGCAATGATGAACATAGTCGGTGCCACCCAACTGGGGTTGCCGGCCGGGGACTCTCCGATGATGAAGTCAGTCATTGAATCAAGGAAGAAAATAGTATATACATTTGAAGGGGTGTGTGTTTTGTAGAGAAATGAGAACATACCTGTATGTTATTTTCTGGCTCCCACACCTCTTATTAAAAAAATGTTTGTCAATTAGTTGGATTGAACTTTTAATTATATCCCTATATCTTTGTACATCCTTTTTTTTTAAAAAAAAATTTCATTTCAACAAAATTATTACAAATTTGCCACTTTAAAGGTAAACCAAAATAAATTTTGCCATTTTTGATTCATAGTGGGCTTTTATAAATAAAATCGTCAATTCTTTAAATAGGGATTGAATGTCTCAAATCCAACACAATTTAGAAATAGAGAAAATTCATAGAAGAAATATAGAGTGAGTTTCTTTTATAGAGAGTTGGATATACAAAAATTTGGGTATATTCTAGGGGTTTGAGAGTGTGAGAGACAATTAATTATTGTAAACTTGTTTCCTACGTAGTGAAGTATTGTTGTTATCTAGTTCATGGATGTATAAGTTGAACCACATAAATCGTTTATTTGTGCTTGTTTTATTTTTCATTGATTATTTTTGATTATTTGATATCCAAATTACGATTGTTTCATAACAATTAACAAATTAGTTGGCAAACTATCCATTTAGCTAACTATTTAACACACCCATTGGAACAAAGCATATTTATGTTATGTCATTTTTGCAGGCAATACCACAACTATTGTTATAATTATTGCCACCTCTGTCACTGGCACTGTCACTATTCTTATAGTTCTCTTTACCATCTTTCTCAGAAAGCGAAAGCATAAGAAGCCAACAGAGAAAATTGATAGTAAGTTCAAAACGAGGTTTTATTTATTTATGTTTTGGTTCATTACAAATTTAACCACTACCATACCTCACGACGAAGCACCACATTCATTCAGGGAGGGGAAATAGTTCCCCATTCGAGTCAGATTTCGAAGGTTCATACCATTCACCATTCAGATTCGAATCAAGGAGCGTGTAGTATAATTTAATAGGATTCGGGTTGAGGCCGGGTCAGTCCCAGTGCCATGGACCCCCTAATTGCCATCTCTATTATTCATAACTAAGATCCCAAATCTTTATAATTAGGATGCATAATAAAGCATGCATAATTCATAATTACAATCACAAAACTTTATAAATATGAGGATAGAGTACTCACCTTTTTAAGGGGAATGCGTACCATTTAAAAATTTTCAGCTAATACACACCTTGTGTTAGCAATTCCAAATTACTATATTAAGATTGTGTTTGAATTATAAATTTGTAGGAGTAAGAAAGTGTCAAAAAATTAGTTTACATTTTTAATTACTTCCTTCTTTCTTTTTCTTTTCACTGTACAAGTCTGTAGTCAAGTTTATGATCTAAATACAACCTAAATAGGTGGCTAGATACATTATTGTGCTCATCTCTAATAACTTGGGCCTAATAGTACAGGATTTACTCAGGTAAGGTTGAAATATATTATTTCATCACTCTCTAGAAAGCTAACGGTAGGTCAGACAAGTCCGACACCATGGAGCTTGGTCGAAAAAAGGACCAGTAGATAAATTCTTTATTACATAAATTTACTTCTCAAGAAAAACGAAGTACATAGACATGTTGACAAGACCTACAAGATAGACAAAAACATTACTGCTAATAAAATGAAAGTTTATAAATCCAAATTTGTTGTCATTTTTAAGTTCATATTTTTTTTTTATTTTTATTTTTTTGTGAAGTTACGGATGAAATCAGTGCCGTAGAATCCTTACAATACTATTTTAGTGCTATAAAGGATGCTAGAGACAACTTCTCTGATAGTAACACGCTTGGACAAGGTGGATTTGGGCCTGTTTACATGGTAAAAGAATATTCTCATAAAAAAATTTCAATTAAGTTGTGCCAAATTACAGATTTGAGTCTATTGAGAGAATACATATATATATTTGAATGTATTTATAGGGTACACTTCCAAATGGACAAGATATAGCTGTGAAGAGGCTATCCAAAAATTCTGGACAAGGTGAAGTGGAATTTAAGAAGGAAGTTTGTTGGTGGCCAAACTTCAACATAGGAAAATTTGCCAAGGATTTTAGGTTTCTGCATGGAAGGAACAGAAAGACTTCTCATGTATGAGTTTATGCCCAATGGAAGTCTTGATCATTCCCTATTTGGTAAGATAGCTCTCTATGTTGTTATCTTTCATAGTTTTAAATATCGGCCAATACGTATTGGTTTTTGACCTCCCAATACTAGCATATTGATGAGAAGGAAAATCGTTTGAGCCGATTTCCAATACATATCGATGTTTACAATCAATTCATGACCAGTTCACAGTTGATACAATTAGTTTAACTGTTATAAAGCTCTTTTTCACGATGAATGAATTTTTTTATTAAAAAAAATCATAATTGCGTCACCAAATTTTCGTTTCATATCATTCTATACTTCCAATAAAAACCTTGTTGTCTTCATTGACTTAATTCTGAATACACATCGACCTACATGCATAGAATGGAAGACATATAACTATATTTCATACATTTATGACCACTTAAGAATGAATCATCTCAAACTTAATTTTCTAAAATAGAGCATAGAACTAAAATTCATGTTGCACATTACTATTTGTAGACCAGTTTATGATTTAGTAGAGCTTTGAGAATTAGCCATTTTATGTATATCCAAACAAACAAGCATATTTGGATTGGGATATGCACCACAAAATCATAGGAGGCGTCGCTAGGGGACTTCTTTATCTTCATGAAGATTCTCGACTTCAGATCATTCATCGTGATTTGAAAGCTAGCAATATTTTATTAGATGAAAATATGAACCCTAAAATTTCAGATTTTGGAATGGCAAGGCTTTTTGTGCTTGATGAAACTCAAGGGAATACAAACAAATTTGTCGGAACCTAGTAAGGCCAAGTTTGGCATCCTTAAAATAATCCATCTTTTTATCTTTTTTTCATCACATCACCTCTCTACTTTTCTGCACATCTTTTCGTAAAAAGACAAAAAGTACACTTATTTAGCTCATCCTAAACAACTCCTAAGTATTACCTTCTCCAAAGCAAGTATCAAATAAAATTAAACTTAACCAGTAATTGTGATGTAACAAGAAAAGCAAAATAGTAATGATCTTAGAATCCGTTGACTGAAAACCCAATACCGGAAGTAAGATTCTTCTTTAGATTCGTTGATTCGCAAGAAATACCGAAAATAAAGGTTCAACAATAGTTGATTCTCAAATAATACCCAAGGTTATAAAAAAAGAAATGTATAAAACTCAAAATTATATTCTATTTGGTTTCAATTTTCAGAATTTACTTTTCAAAAAATTCTACTTTTTCGTTTTCTGTATTTCTTTTGTTTTCACTGAATTTTTTAAATATTTTAAGCAATTTTTTTTTTAATTTTTAGACACACCTAACATAAATACACTTAAAAAGTATAACATTTGTGAAAAAAAATCTTTAAAAAATAAATACCAAAAATACAAAAAAGAAATACGAAAATTCAATACATTTCTTATATTTTTGTGTATTTATTAATTTTTTAAAACATTTTTTCACAATTTTTTTACTATTTAGATACATCTAAGTAAAGTGCATCTAAAAAAAAATGCTTAAAATTTTAAAAATATTCACTAAAAACAAACAAATATGAAAAATAAAAAACTCAATTTCTAAAAAACTGAATTCAAAAAACTAAAACCAAACATATTGATTAATTCTCAAAAAACTCTAAGGTTTACATTAATGAATTATAAGTACAAGCAAACCTAACCTAGTAGGAAACAATTAGAATTGATAGTTTCGTAATGAGCAATACTTAAATAAGGAAAGATAACGAAAATTATCAAAAATAAAAATATTGAAATAAAATAAAGAAAATACTAATATATACTGCTACAATAATAGCATATTCGACAAAATAAGATTCTGAGTTCTACGCTAGGAGTAATTAGAGTAGCAAGTCTTTCCAAAAATAACAAAATCTCAAGATTGACAGCCTGAACAATAGAATTCAACTAAAATTTACTAGGGTCAATGAATCATGACCAAAATGACATTTTCTATCAATCCACCAAATTTCATGCAATTTTGAGTCCGGGCCATTTGATTTCTACCAATGTTTTTTGCCTTGGCCTTATTTGCCCATCTATTTGGTCTAAGAATTGTGTGGGCATACACTACATCAAATTGTTTCTTAATCAAATGAAGTATCAAATGGAGTTCTATTCCTTAATCCATTTTTCTTGACGTAAGCATTATTTCAAGTTAACAAAAGTTTTCTTTGTGGATCAAAAAAAATTAACAAACAATATCTGTTCCATTTTTACATGTACATTTTCTACCATGAAATGAAAGTAACATAAAAGTCCTACAAATTCTTACCATCTGTTCTTCAATTTAAAAAATGGAAAAGCCAAATGGTTTGTGTATATACAAAGTAATTGATTAGAAACATTAAAAGTGGAAAACATAAAAACCTTGTGTTGAAGGTTAGAGATCCTCTGTCCCAAAACCTATATGGTCCTTTGTTTCAATCCACTCAAAGCTGTTGGATCATGTGAGAATTTTGAAAAACAAAAACATTAAAGCATAATCAAATAATTGTGAGTAAGTTGAGATAAAACCTTGAAAAAATTACTATCTTTAACTTCTAAGATGAAATAATTCACCTATATGATTTTGCAATTGCAGTGGTTATATGCCACCAGAGTACATAATGTATGGGCAATTCTCAGTTAAATCAGATGTTTTTAGCTTTGGAGTATTAGTTCTAAAAATCGTAAGTGGACAGAAGAACAATCATTTTCAAAAAGCGGAGAATGCGGAGTACCATCTAACCTATGTAAGTATGAATAAGGATATATATACATATGTGTGTGTGTGTGAAAAATAATCCACAAACATAATTTTATATAAAAAAAATTTATTCAGAATGATGTGATTGTGCCAATTTTTAAATTATTAGCGACAATGGTAAGTTTTTTAGCTTGAAATAAAAGGACAAAAGAAAACCACATTATTATGCATAAAAATTGAGTGATTTTGTCACTTTAAAGCAAAGGATCTAGACCCAATCTAGATAGAATGATAAGACAAGTTTTGATTTTATCACTTCAAAACAAAAGACTTAATTATTGAAAGATTGTTAAGTTACTAATTGTCTTAAAAGCTTAAGCTACACAATGACAAAGCATGATGTGACAAGTTTTTCTTTTATCACTTTAAAGAAAAATACTTATCAAGATAACTTACATTATAAAAAATACAACTGCCCCGTTATTGTTGTCATAAATTATGCATACAAGTTTTGTAACTATATCATTTTTCATATATATATATATAGTAAATTATATTTTTTACCCTTCAACTTTCATTCTTGCAGACATGGAAAAATTGGAAGGATAAAAGGGCTTCAAATGTGGTAGACCCCACCATATTGGAGGCTAGTTCAAATTGTGTACAAGACATAATGAGATGTGACATGGCTAAGCCCATAAAGGGTATAGCCCACCACTTAGGACCCAATGCATAATTCAAATACTAAAGCCCAGCATTGCTGGAGCTCAACATGGCATCAAGAACCAATGACACCTAGACATATGGCAAGTGAAGGACAAGCCACATAAGCAGACAAAGATCCTGCAAAGTTATTACACTGCACATCAGCCATTAATGAAACCCCTTACAGCATTTATTGCGATAACCTCTCCCCGTCGAGACAGAACGGCCTCACCATGAACAAGGCAAGCTAGAGCATAGACTTTCGGCCAAGATGCCAGGTCGGAAGGAACAACAAAATGATTACCAGAGGATATAAGCAGATGTCGAAGACAAGAAGAAGGTTAAGCTTTCTATCTCAAATCTATCTCTACAGTCCATCTCTCTTTCAAACTTGCTCGTCGGAGGGTTCGCTGGGAGACTCCCCGTTCCCCGTTGAACTCTTGTGCAGGTTCCTCTGTGGGCTTGGTACCTTAGACACTGGTTTGGGAAGCGTGGATCAGTCCGACTCGTTCCATCTGGAACACGTTGTATCATCAGTTGGCGCCGTCTATGAGAAACCTCTTGCTCCGCGCGCCAGTTGTGCTCATTGTCGCGGGAGACCCCTTCCCAATAACCCCATCCTACCACCTGCGAAGGTGGATGGTCACAACTAGATCCATGGCTTCTCACCACAATGTTGCCGACCACCAAGCCGTCCCTCCCAATCCAAACAACCCACTACAGTATTTCACCGAGCTCACCAACAACATTAGCCGCCTGGCCGAGCAAAACCAAGCCCTGATTATTACTTTACTCCAAAGAAACCTTCCTATGCCTCCTCCACCACCTCCAGATATCCTACCCAACCAAGAACGAGCCCCGAGCCACACTATCCAACAGCCCAATCCACCCAACTTGGAAGGCTTGCGACCCCTTCCGCCAAATATAAACCTGCCACCCCGGGCCCCACCTCTATCGGTCCAGGCACCCACACCCGAGGGAGAGGCCTATAGTGTCCAGCCCCCGCTGCATTCTGGCGGTGACAACGTTCCACTCTGGGACGCAAAACTCCGAGCCATGAGCTCCAACTCCAAAGAGTCATGCAGAACATACATCATAAACCATATACCACAGCTAACTCACCATTTGTTGCCTCCGTCAGGGACAAACCTCTACCTCCCAAGTTTAAAATGCCCTCGATTGACTCTTTCGATGGTACAACGGACCCAGTCGATCACTTAGAGACCTACAGGACCCTCATGATCCTCCATGCATTCCCTGATGAAATCATGTGTCGGGCTTTCCCCTTCCCCCAGATATAAACCTGCCACCCCGGGCCCCACCTCTATCGGTCCAGGCACCCACACCCGAGGGAGAGGCCAGTAGTGTCCAGCCCCCGCTGCATTCTGGCGGTGACAACGTTCCACTCTGGGACGCGAAACTCCGAGCCATGAGCTCCAACTCCAAGGAGTCATGCAGAACATACATCATAAACCATCTACCACAGCTAACTCACTATTTGTTGCCTCCATCAGGGACAAACCTCTACCTCCTAAGTTTAAAATTCCCTCGATTGACTCTTTCGATGGTACAATGGACCCAGTCGATCACTTAGAGACCTACAGGACCCTCATGATCCTCCATGCATTCCCTGATGAAATCATGTGTCGGGCTTTCCCTGTAACACTTAAGGGTTTAGCCCGACTGTGGTTTAGTCAGCTACCGACGGACTCTGTCTCTACCTTTCAGCACCTGAGTGACTCTTTCCTCAGCCACTTCATTGGTGCCCAGCGCCAACGGCGTCCGGCAACTCAGCTCCTTAACATCCGTCAAACAGAGGGAGAGTCGCTGCACAGCTTTGTCACCCGCTTCAACACAGAGGCCTTACAGGTGGCAGAAAACGATGACAATGTCATTCTCACGGCTTTCATGGCCGGTCTACGATCATCTAATTTCCTTTTTTCTCTCTCCAAAAACCCCCCGACCTCCATGGCAACCCTACTTTCCAAGGCCCAAAAATACATGAACGCCGAAGATTCCCTAGCTGCCCGACAAGATCCTACAGCCAAAAACCCGACCCCCAGAGAGAAGAGAAAGGACTCAGAAACCAGAAACACCCAGTACACTCACCAAACACCCCAGTATACTGACCGACCACCACGAGCCAACCGGTCGGCGTCAGCCCGACCTCCCGGCCGATTCGAACGGTACACCCCCCTCAACTCCCCCATGGAACAAGTCTTGAACCAGATTCAACGAGATTATCCCCTAAAATGGCCCCAACCATCACGGTCTCCTTCCAACCGGCGAGACCAGTCCAAATACTGCCGCTTTTATCAGGACCACGGCCATAATACGGAGGAGTGTATTAACCTCAAAGACCAGGTCGAGGGCTTGATACGTCAGGGACATCTCAGTCGGTTCACGGAAGCCCGCCCTCAGCAGAGGCAAATGATTGAACCCATTAGAAACAACTGCCGGTGCACCCCTCCTCGACAACCCGCACATCCAAACCATGATCATGATCGCCCTCCACAACAACCCCAGGCACAAGGTAACCCCGCCCCCCCTGTTGGAGAGATCTGAGTTATTGCTGGCGGGCTTGCTTGTGAAGGACCATCCCGCTCGGCTCAGCGGGCAGAACTCAGAAAAATAAGGCAAGGCTCAAACAAAGAAGTTGCCACATTAGACTGCCCTTCCAAACAGTCCAAGTAGTGGATGGAGCCCATCACCTTTACGAAGGCTGACTGCACAGGCATCCGTTACGCCCATGACGACCCCCTCGTCATCTCTGCCCTCCTCTCCAATTACAAAGTCAGACGGGTTCTCGTCGATAATGACTGTTCTTCAGACATTTTCCTAAATGCCTTTCGCCAGCTCAAGGTCGGGGAAGAAAGTCTGTCCCCTCTCCAAACCCCTTTGGTCGGTTTTACTGGAGATCAGGTGACCTCCATCGACTCCATCGTTCTTCCCATCAGAATCAGAGAATACCACGGCAGACCACAAAGTTGCTCATCTTCCTCGTCGTCGACTGTCCCTCTGCTTACAACATCATCCTCGGCCTCACCGCCCTAAATGCTTTCCAAGCTATTACATCCACTTTATATCTTGCCATCAAATTTCCCACCGACCTTGGGGTCGGCACAGTGAGGGGCGAGCAAACCGTGGCCAGGGAATGTTACGTCGCTTCATTTAAAGAGGTCAAGCTAAAGGAGGTTATGATCATTGAAGGGCTCGATGTTAGGGACGAGGATGAGCTGGTCAGAGGGGAACCTGTGGAAGAGCTTATCGAGGTCCCCATCGATCTCACCAACCCGACAAAAACTGCCAAGATCGGCAACCAACTATCCTCTCAGGCCAAGGCTGACTTTACTGCCCTCCTGATTGAGCACAACGACGTATTTGCCTGGACCCACTCCGACATGCCGGGTATTGACCCCTCATTCATTACCTATTGTCTCAGCATTGAGCCTCATTTCTGACCCTTCCGCCAGAAGCAGCGCATCTTTCACCCAAAGCACAATACTCTTATCGCTTATGAAGTAGATAAGCTCCTTGAGGCACAGTTTATCAAAAATGTGGACTACCCCAGATGGCTGTCAAATGTGGTCCTGGTCCGTAAAAACAACGGCAAATGGCGACTTTGTGTCGACTACTCCGACCTTAACCGAGCTTGCCCCAAAGGCAGTTATCCCATTCCTCGCACCGATTTGCTTGTTGACGCCACAACCGACCATCAAATGCTCAGCTTCATGGATGCCTTCTCTGGGTACAACCAAATTATGATGCACCCATCTGACCGGGAGCACATCTCCTTCATCACCAACCGGGGAACCTAACATTATTGTGTCATGCCATTTGGGTTAAAAAATGCTGAGGCCACTTACCAACGGTTGGTCAACGTCGTCTTTCATCATCAAATAGGCCGGAACATGGAAGTATACGTTCATGACATGCTAGTCAAGAGCAAAATCTCCATTGATCATCTGGCTGTCCTGCGAGAGACCTTCGACATCCTACGAAAGTATCAAATGAAGCTCAATCCGGAGAAATGCGCCTTCGGCGTAGGATCTAGGAAGTTCTTGGGTTTTATGATCAGTCAGTGAGGCATCAAAGCTAACCCCGAAAAGATCAAGGCCTTGATAGAAATGCAGTCACCCAGAACGGTTAAGGAAGTTCAAAGGCTTACTGGCAGAGTCGCTGCCCTCAACCGCTTCATTTCCCGTGCAACGGACAAGTGCCTCCCATTCTTCAAAGTTCTTCGGCAGACTTTCGAGTGGACGGGCGAATCTGAAGAGGCCTTCCAACAGTTGAAGCAATGCATGGCCAACCCCCCTTACTCTCCCAGGCACTCACGGGCGAGCCTCTTTTTCTCTATCTAGCCATCTCGAACACCGCAGTTAGTGCGGCCCTCATCAGGGAGGACGGTTCAGTACAGCGCCCAGTTTATTACAGAGGCACCGAACAGAACTACCCATTGCTAGAAAAAATGTCCTTGGCCCTAGTCACCACCTCAAGACGACTCTATCCTTACTTCCAAGCCCACTCCATAGCGGTCCTCACTGATCAACCTTTGAAAAAGATAATGCAACAGCCCGAGCTGTCCGGCAAACTCATGCAATGGTCGATCGAGCTCAGCCAATTTGACATCTCCAACCGACCTCAAACAACGATCAAAGGGCAGGCTGCACTACTACAAAAATAGTTAAAGATCACACTTTGACAAAAAAAAAAGATCTCACTTTTATTGGAAGTGCGATAAAAAAATTGGATTGATATTTTAATCACACTTAATTTGATTGAGTGTGATAATATTTATTTTTTATATCACTTTTCAATTAAGTGTGATCATATATATATTTTTTAATCACACCTTCTAATTAAAAGTGTGATTATATATACACTACTACTTTTTAATCACACTTTTTAAACAAGTGTGATTATATATATCTATATATATATATTTAATCACACATTTTAATTAAAGTGTGATTGCTTATATATTTTTTAATCACACCTTTTAATTAAAGTGTGATTATATATACACTACTA